GGGGAAAATCTTTTAAAACCTTCTTCTGCTGAATAGTAGCGTTATTATGAGTTTTACTATATGTGGAACCATCCTCAGCCAGTGTAGATTTAAGTTTGTTCAATTTATGGCCCCAGGGTTAGGGTTGAGCCACAATCATAAATAATAATTAAATTAATCAAAGTTTTACATAGGAATAATTTTTAACTTTAGGCCTCAAAAAAGGCTTTAAAAATATGTGAATATGACATTGATTGATGTCTCCTTAATTAATGTACTTGAAAAAAAGAACGATAAATTAATTTGTAAATCACAAATATATTAGAGTTATGAAGAATATTATATTTGGATCGGGTTCGATATTTCGAATATGAAAACGAGGTTCTTTGTTATGCGCCATATTGAAGAAAAACGGAGGAACTTGTATTTGCCATAGATCTATTGTCTACTTAAGTTGGGTTTAATAGAGTTGATTCCCAAGGTAATGTTATCCGATTATTGATAAAAGAAAAATACACTGTCTGTTCTTTAATTCTTCTATTTATTCTTGTACGAGATAATCAGGATGAGGAAGTATAGATATTACTGAGCTCCGTGTTTAGACTACGGAATACAATGCACCGGGTACTAATCTGTGACAGAGAGAAAATCTGAAATCGATGGGATTAAAATTAAAATATTGCAGTTGATTAAAATAGATATTTTTCTTTTTATTTCATAAATTTTCCCGTGTAGTTTTAGAAAAAGTTTTTTAGCCAATCAAAATCCAGACAATAATATGCTGTCGGAGAGTGGCAGCTACACAGCGTGTAAAACGTGTTTACAGAGATAAATTTTAAAAAAGTGTTTACAGGGATAAAAAAAAACAAAGACAGACATGCCAGCCCATATATTGTTTTTTTAAGATAAATTTTCATAGGATAGAATGGGTTTATTACTGCATTTTCTTCGAAAGCATCTGGAAGGGTGGATATTGTATTTAATTTGCAGTTGGACTATAATGTTTTTTGTATACTGTGGGGTAAAAAAAATAGTTATGGAAACATATTCCTCTAATAGTACCTAGTTGTTTCAAGTTAGATTTATTTTTCAAATATACTAATTTTGCCCAGGAATACATGTGAATGGCATGGGCCTGTCAAGGAAACATGATATGTATTTGTCTTGCTTGTCTGTATTTAAGAGAAGTAAAAGTGGAGACAAGGAGTTTAAGATTTTTTCAATTTTGCAATGCAGCAGTCAGAACTTTGTGTTGTTGTAGTACAGCAAACATTGCCCTAAAGAAGGAGAGGTTTATGTGCTTTTGCAAAACAGTAGTTTCAGAATACGATGCTTGTTAAACTCTCTAAGTAATAAAGAAGATGAATAAACTTAAAAGTGTTTGTTGTGTGATTTTTTTTTAATTTGCATTTTAGATAATGTTTAAGTACAATTGCATGCATGTTTAAAGAAAGTGTAAGCGTGCTGAAATCAGGCATCCAGTGTCCTTTACACACAGGAGTTTTACCAATATGGAGTACAGTGTGTGCCAAAAGCACTAGCTCAATGCCCAAAATCCTAGTAAAAATTTGGTTGGGGCAGGGCTAGTAGAATGCAGGTCAGAAATAGCCTGATTGGACTAGTAGAATTTTCAATTGTATTTATCTATTACCTTCTCAGTATTTTTAATGATTGTCAAAAAAAGATTCTTTTCTTATTGAAATTTTCGACTTCTTATCTTTCTGTGCATGTTTTTTTTATATACGGTCTCCATCTTGAAATGGCTAATGAATGGAAACAAAAAGTTGAGACGGAGACTGTCACTGACTCAAGAAACACACTGAATTAAAATGCACCTGAGTGTGTGATTGGTGGGAAGTTGACTGTCACTTGGTTATCTACGAACATATTGTGAAGACCTGTATTGTGCATCGGACTGCATCAATGTGTAAAACAAAGAAGTTGCTTACTTGATAAAATATTTGACAATAAAATAACAGAAAAGAGAGTTCATAGAAATTTTGGCACACACTGTACTGCATATTGGAAAATCCTGTGTGTAAAGGACCCTGGATGCCTGATTTCAGCAAGCTTAGACTTTCTTTAAACATGCATGCAGTTGTATTTAATTTTCAGTGTTAAGTAATGAGCTTTGTTGATTAAATCTAAAGGAATGAAACAAAACTGTCCTTTTATATTTTACACTTTTAAGGAGGCTTACCTGGCTAGTAAAAAGTGATATGGGTAAAATTTTGCCATTGCTTGCCCAATTGCGCTAGTTATGAAAAAGTTTTTGGTGCACACGGGGAATATTTTCTCAGTCCAGCAATACTAGAAAAGCTTGGTAAACTTTGATAGATATTTCATTTGATTATATTATTTAAAAAAATTCTATTCTTTTGTTATCATATGTGTTGTCCCCCGTTTTCACTGAAAGGGGGGTTATTAATTTAGGTCTGTCTGTCCGTGTTTCATCCGAGTGTTATTTCAAGAACCTTTTGAGCTTTACACCACAACGCCCTGCCACCACTCTTAAATTATTCCATGTTATTATTTTACTGAAAGTGGGTGATATAACCCGGTAATTTATGTCTGTCAGTCCATCTTTCTGTCTGTTACACTCTCATTTCCATGTGATATCTCGAGAAGCCTTTGAGCTTTTGCAATGAAATTTTATATAACTACTCCTTGTGGCCTAAGGAAGACTCCTATTGTTTTTAGGGTCATAGGTCAAGGTCATAAATTCATACATTCTATTTGTGAGTAAAAATTTCATTTCCAAGAGATATCTAGAAGCTTTTGAGCTTCTTTATTGAAATTTTATACCATAACTTCCTATGGCCCTGCTTGACCCCTTTAAAGTGTCCCCCTACGCATGGTCTTCTTTTGTCCTTAAGCGGGGGACACAGATTCTCTGAATAGCTTGTTCAACTATGTTTGAATTGTGTTTAATATTTAAAAAAATGTTAAGGAGATGGCAACTACCTGAACTTTATTAGAGATTTGATTAAGCATCGGACAAAGGTGGGTGACCCTATTAAAGGGACCTGGACACAGTTGCATTGTTTACAATTTTAAATGTCTATTTATGCCCTAGCATGAATATGGCTGGGGCATATAGTGTTTGTTGTGTCCGTCTTCCGTCTGTCTTTCTTTGCGTTTAGCTCTGTTCAAAGCTCAGTTTCAAAGAAACAAAGATATTTTTATCAAACTTCATATGCTGATAGATATTGATGAGAGTTATGCAAC